GTTCCTCACAAGAGATTAGTGCAGAAGCTAGAGCATCAGGCGCATATAACAGGAAGGGCACTGCAATGGATCAGAGAATACCTGACAGGGAGGCAACAACGAGTCATGGTCATTAATGATGTATCACAGTGGGCACCTGTGACGAGCGGGGTCCCACAGGGGTCGGTCCTAGGACCAGTGCTATTTTTGGTATATGTGAACGACATGATGGAAGGGTTAGACTCAGAAGTGTCCCTGTTTGCAGATGATGTGAAGTTAATGAGGAGAATTAAATCTGATGAGGACCAGGCAGGACTTCAAAGAGACATGGACAGACTGGACACCTGGTCCAGCAAATGGCTTCTCGAATTTAATCCTGCCAAATGCAGTCATGAAGATAGGGGAAGGGCACAAAAGACCACAGACAGAGTATAGACTAGGTGGCCAAAGACTGCAAACCTCACTCAAGGAGAAAGATCTTGGGGTGAGTATAACACCGAGCATGTCTCCGGAAGCACCATCAATCAGATAACTGCTGCAGCATATGGGCGCCTGGCAAACCTGAGAACAGCATTCCGATACCTCAGTAAGGAATCGTTCAAGACACTGTACACCGTGTATGTCAGGCCCATACTGGAGTATGCAGCACCTGTTTGGAACCCGCACTTGATAAAGCACGTCAAGAAACTAGAGAAAGTACAAAGGTTTGCGGCAAGGTTAGTTCCAGAGCTAAGGGGAATGTCCTATGAAGAAAGATTAAGGGAAATCGGCCTGACGACACTGGAGGACAGGAGGGTCAGGGGAGACATGATAACGACATATAAAATTCTGCGTGGAATAGACAAGGTGGACAAAGACAGGATGTTCCAGGGAGGGGACACAGAAACAAGAGGCCACAATTGGAAGTTGAAGACACAAATGAGTCAGAGAGATATTAGGAAGTATTTCTTCAGTCATAGAGTTGTAAGGCAGTGCAATAGCCTAGAAAATGACGTAGTGGAGGCAGGAACCATACGCAGTTTTAAGACGAGGTTTGATAAAGCTCATGGAGCGGGGAGAGAGAGGGCCCAGTAGCAACCGGTGAAGAGGCGGGGCCAGGAGCTAAGACTCGACCCCTGCAACCACAAATAGGTGAGTACACACAACACACACACACACACACAACACACCACACACCACACACACACCACAAACATTAACATACAAATAACAGTAACCACTTTCTGCCATAAAACTGACACACCACCACCCCCAGGCCAGCTACACAACACAGTGTCAGAGTGTGTGTTTCTCTCTTTACTAATTCCACCCACCGCCCACAGCCCATACCGCCCATCCCCACCCTTACACCCACCCCATCCATACCTTTCACCTTCACCCCCTTCTCTTCTACCTCCCCCCCCTCTTTTGTTCCCACAGTGTAACTGTCTATATAGAACAGTGTAGCAGCACACTGTGGGTGTTCCCACAGTGTAACTACAACACAGGACTCTGCCTGGAGTACACAACTTAAATCTATTATGGTGATAATGAAGAGTAGTGGTGCTAGGACTCTACCCTGGAGTACTCTTAACATTATACTCAGGGACTGAGTACCTCAAACTCCTTCTGATCTATACCATTCTTCTTTGTATTAGACTGATGAAGCCACTGTGTGGGCCACTGTGTTGCACGTGTGTCTAATTTCTCAACTTGTCGGTTCCCTGAACCATTTATCAACTTGTCGGTTCTCTGAACCATTTCTCAACTTGTCGGTTCTCTGAACCATTTCTCAACTTGTCGGTTCTCTGAACCATTTATCAACTTGTCGGTTCTCTGAACCATTTATCAACTTGTGGGTTCTCTGAACCATTTATTAACATCTACCTCACCGATACTGGACTTGTGTTATTGCTACAATTTCACTCTGTTCTGAATTCCTATTTAAATTACAAATCAGTTGACTATTGTTTCTGCTTCCTGTTTCTAGAACATCATTCTATGAGTTTTGTCCACCATTTGCAATTTCTCAATCGCCTTTACAAAATCAGCGTAGTTACACTAGCATTTTATTTTTCCTTGCGAGTTATAGTGATGTTATGGTTGTGACAGCCAGTCATCTTCCTCGTCTCACCCGTCAACAATTAACACACATTGTGCAACATCTGGAATCTTTATTCAAACACCATCAGTGGCATTACATAACAATATATACACAATAATGGGTATATGAGGACGATTACCTTTATCTACTGTGTATATTTTACAGTCTTCACCTAACATCCTGTACTGCAAGTCACTTGATGGGGAAATTCCTCAAATAGAGACACAGATGTTGCACAACGTTTTGGTCCTCATCGTGCCGTATGTGGTACTTTCGCATATCAACGACATATTCAACTTGTGTGGCTCATCTCTCTGCCATTAACTACTACTTTGGGCTCTCAAAACCTTTAGAAGCTTTTTCATGGTGGATTGTTAGTGTGCTTGGTGGTTAGTTATTTTTGCTATGTGTCTGCTGTTACCTTTTATATGAGAGTTGCATCTGTACCTTCAAGTCCTCTGACATTTCACAGGATTCTAACATTTCCACTTTGTCTGACTTTTGGGCTATCCTATGATAATTTACACTATGTATGACAATTATCCTAGATAATTATATATGACAATTATCCTAGGTAATTTACATTATGACAATTATCTTTGGTAATTTACACTATGACAATTATGCCAGGTAATTTACACTATGGGTGACAGTTATGCCAGGTAATTTACACTATGGGTGACAGTTATGCCAGGTAATTTACACTATGGGTGACAGTTAAGCCAGGTAATTTACACTATGGGTGACAGTTATGCCAGGTAATTTACACTATGCGTGACAATTATGCCAGGAAATTTTTACACTATGGGTGACAATTATGCCAGGAAAATTTACACTATGGGTGACAATTATGCCAGGTAATTTACACTATGGGTGACAATTATGCCAGGTAATTTACACTATGGGTGACAATTATGCCAGGTAATTTACACTATGGTGACAAATTGCCAGGTAATTTACACTATGGGTGACAATTATGCCGGGTTTAATTTACACTAGGGGTGACAATTATGCCAGGAAAATTTACACTATGGGTGAACAATTATCCTGGGTAATTTACACTTGGGTGACAATTATGCCAGGTAATTTACACTATGGGTGAAAATTATGCCAGGTAATTTACACTATGGGTGACAATTTGCCAGGAAATTTTAAACACTATGGGTGACAATTATGCCAGGTAATTTACACTATGGGTGACAATTATGCCAGGTAATTTACACTATGGGTGACAATTATGCCAGGTAATTTACACTATGGGTGACAATTATGCCAGGTAATTTACACTATGGGTGACAAATATGCCAGGAAATTTACACTATGGGTGACAATTAAATGCCGGGTTAATTTACACTATGGGTGACAATTATGCCAGGTAATTTACACTATGGGTGACAATTATGCCAGGTAATTTACACTATGGGTGACAATTATGCCAGGTAATTTACACTATGGGTGACATTATGCCAGGAAATTTTTACACTATGGGTGACAATTATGCCAGGTAATTACACTAGGGGTGACAATTATGCCAGGTAATTTACCCTATGGGTGACAATTATCCTGGGAAATTTTACACTAGGGTGACAATTATCCTAGGTAATTTACACTATGGGTGACAATTATGCCAGGTAATTTACACTATGGGTGACAATTATGCCAGGTAATTTACACTATGGGTGACAATTATGCCAGGTAATTTACACTATGGGTGACAATTATGCCAGGTAATTTACACTATGGGTGACAAATATGCCAGGAAATTTTAAACACTATGGGTGACAATTATGCCAGGTAATTTACACTATGGGTGACAATTATGCCGGGGTAATTTACACTATGGGTGCCCAATTATGCCAGGTAATTTACACTATGGGTACAATTATGCCGGGTAATTTACACTATGGGTGACAATTATGCCAGGTAATTTACACTATGGGTGACAATTATGCCAGGTAATTTACACTATGGGTGACAATTATGCCAGGTAATTTACACTATGGGTGACAATTATGCAGGAAATTTTACACATGGGTGACAAATATGCCAGGTAATTTACACTATGGGTGACAATTATGCCAGGTAATTTACACTATGGGTGACAATTATGCCAGGTAATTTACACTATGGGTGACAATTATCCTAGGTAATTTACACTATGGGTGACAATTATGCCAGGTAATTTACACTATGGGTGACAATTATGCCAGGTAATTTACACTATGGGTGACAATTATGCCAGGTAATTTACACTATGGGTGACAATTATGCCAGGTAATTTACACTATGGGTGACAATTATGCCAGGTATGTACCTTAATAAACTTACTTACAAAAGCTTTAATTAAAACAAAAATAAGAGCCTTCTTCTGATTTCTTTAATCAAGAACCCTTCACCAGCATCAAGACCCTTCACCAACATCAAGGCCCTTCACCAGCATCAAGGCAGGTCCCCCTCCTCATCCCCCTTCATCAAGAATTATCTTATTACAGCCTTAATTATTGTGAGGGATAGTTAGGTGGTGTGTAATTTTCATCGGCTGTGAGATAAATACAGCCTCCACCCACTCGGGTTTTTCAAGCTGATGCAACGTGAACAACCCAGTGAGTGGTTCAGCCTTATGTGAACCTCAGTCACTGCTACCACTGCTACCATTGTTCTGTGTTGTTACCACCTCTGCTATGATTACCATGCGCATTATTTTAACTGTAATAATAATAATAATAATAATAATAATTTAAAAATAATAATAAAAATAATTGTTTTTATTATTATTATTATTATTATTATTATTATTATTATTATTATTATTATTATTATTATTATTATTATTATTATTATTATTAGTTACACACAACAGAGAGAGAGAGAGCAATAGCACTCTACAGACGTGTTCTCTACAAGTACAGTGTCCATCACCTTGTTTCACATCTTCCAGGGAAAGTTCACAGTCGTGGAGAGAGTCGCGTCCAAGCTAGACTCAGTAGTGATGGGCGGGTCCAAGGCAGACTCAGTAGTGATGGGCGAGTCCAAGGCAGACTCAGCAGTGATGGCCGGGTCCAAGGCAGACTCAGTAGTGATGGCCGGGTCCAAGGCAGACTCAGCAGTGATGGCCGGGTCCAAGGCAGACTCAGCAGTGATGGCCGGGTCCAAGGCAGACTCAGCAGTGATGGCCGGGTCCAAGGCAGACTCAGCAGCCACCACAGGCCTCATTTCGACAGGAACACGGAGATACGTGAAATCATTGAAGGTGGGTTACAGACACTTGTAGCCTTATCAGTGTGTTGATTCACTTAAATCTTTATAGATGAAGTGTTGACTGTGCCTCTGATGAGTTTCGAGAGTTTCTCTGCTCTCAGGGCCTGGGCCTGGGCCAGTCTTGTCTGGGGTTTGCCTGATCAACCAGGCTGTTGCTGCTAACTGTCCACTGGGCTCCGCATCCGTCACAGCCTGGTTGAACTGACACCTAGTGAAGATATTTGTCCAGTTTCTTCTTGAAGACTTCTACACTTGCTCTGGCAAGTGTAGAAGTCTTCTGGTAAGATATTATGTAGTCTAGAACATCCAGTGTTAATACATTATTCACTTACGATGCTCACGGTGCCTCTGCCTCTCACGGTGCTGATTCTGCACTCCCTCCCATGTATCTCACTCCAGTGTGTTGTTACAGCAGTGTACAGACTTGGGACTAGACCCTCACATACTTTCCACGTAAATATTATTATCTCACTCTTATTTGATTCATCATTTAGGATTCTGAGTCGTTCCCAAATGTTTTACTGGCTCTTTACGAGCCGTAAATGATCTCTGTATCCGTTCCAGCTCTGATATCTCTCCTGTCCTTAACGGGGCCGTCAACGCTCAACAATACTCTAGATGAGAGAGCACAAGCGAGTTGAATAGTGTCACTACTGGCACTGTTTCCCTTGTTTTGAAAGTTCTCATTATCCATCGCATCATTTTCCGAACTCTCATGGCATTTATTTACCTTATTGTGTTGTGTGAAATAAATGTCAACTGCCATTATTACTCTCAATTTTGCATCTCTTTCAGCTGAAATTTAGCGAGTTTCTACATTCTTTCCAGTCTTCAGTTTTTGTCTCCTTCCTTATTTCAGCTCTGTGTTCCCTACCTTTATCCACCCACTCTTTGTATAGCTCTGACAATCTCCTGAAGGTAATTCCTTATATTATCTAGGATTTCAGTTTTCAACACTTCCCTTATACCTGTTTAGCTTTCCATCTCTCTAGAGCAAATTCAGACAAATCTTTCTCATTGTAAGTCACTGATCGTAACTCTATCAAGTTTCTTGTTAGGTAAGACACATATGCAACAGTTAGACAAGTTTATTCCGAAACGTTTCGCCTACACAGTAGGCTTCTTCAGTCGAATACAGAAAGTAGGCAGGAACAGTAGAGATGTGAAGACGATGTAGTCAGTCCATCACCCTTGTAGTCGTAGAATTTGAGGTTGTCAGTCCCTCGGCCTGGAGAAGTTCAGTTCCATAGTCAGGAACTATCTGAAGATCAAGCGACAGTGCGGAGACTTAAATACTGTCGACTTCAAGGGTGATGGACTGATTACATCGTCTTCACATCTCTACTGTTCCTGCCTACTTTCTGTATTCGACTGAAGAAGCCTACTGTGTAGGCGAAACGTTTCGGAATAAAGTTGTCTAACTGTTGCATATGTGTCTTACCTAACAACCTGTCGGTATTGTATACCATTTTGATGTTCATCAAGTTTCTTGCACGAACCAAGAAATTTGCTCAAATATTTTCCACAGTAAATGTCCCTAATGTGTTACCCTGATTAACCTCACTGTGTCTGACTGTTTTGGGTCACCCTGGGTAATTTACACATATGTTGCTATGTATAATGATTGTACTTATGTCTACGTATACCTGAATAAACTTACTAACGACAGACCTTCATCCCACTCAACGTAACGTTACTGTTTGACATGCCGGTCCGTGTGGTTTGTGGGTGAGTCAGGTGGGTGGGTTGGGTGTGTGGGTGAGTCAGGCGGGTGGGAGGGTGTGTGGGTGAGTCAGGCGGGAGGGAGGGTGTGTGGGTGAGTCAGGCGGGTGGGAGGTGTGTGGGTGAGTCAGGCGGGTGGGAGGGTGTGTGGGTGAGTCAGGCGGGTGGGAGGGTGTGGGTGAGTCAGGCGGGTGGGAGGGTGTGTGGGTGAGTCGGCGGGTGGGAGGGTGTGTGGGTGAGTCAGGCGGGTGGGAGGGTGTGTGGGTGAGTCAGGCGGGTGGGAGGGTGTGTGGGTGAGTCAGGCGGGTGGGAGGGTGTGTGGGTGAGTCAGGCGGGTGGGAGGGTGTGTGGGTGAGTCAGCGGGTGGGAGGGTGTGTGGGTGAGTCAGGCGGGTGGGAGGGTGTGTGGGTGAGTCAGGCGGGTGGGAGGGTGTTGTGGGTGAGTCAGGCGGGTGGGAGGGTGTGTGGGTGAGTCAGGCGGGTGGGAGGGTGTGTGGGTGAGTCAGGCGGGTGGGAGGGTGTGGGTGGCGGTCCAGTACAACAGTGTCCACACTACACTTCACTCTTCAAATATCCTGTACCTGGCAAAGTCTTTTCTAACTCATTTCTTTTTCTCTTTTACGAAACAATCTGCGTTCGCCAACAAATCTTAAACAACAGAGTCATGACTTATTATAAGCCCTTATATATATATATATATATATATATATATATATATATATATATATATATATATATATATATATATATATATATATATATATATATATAATAAAAATGTAAAAATGTTATGAAGGGAGCAGTAAGTAAATTTGGGGTGCCAGGGGTAAATGTAAATGGGGAGACTTTAATTGAGCTATGTGTAGAAAGAAATTTGGTAATAAGTAATACATATTTTATGAAAAAGAGGATAAATAAATATACAAGTATGATGTAGCATGTAATGAAAAGTAGTTTATTAGATTATGTATTGGTGGATAAAGGTTGATGGGTAGGCTCCAGGATGTACATGTTTATAGAGGGGCAACTGATATATCAGATCATTATTTAGTTGTAGCTACAGTTAGAGTAAGAGGTAGATGGGAAAAGAGGAAGGTGGCAACAACAAGTAAGAGGAGTGAAAGTGTATAAACTAAGGGAGGAGGAAGTTCGGGCGAGATATAAGCGACTATTGGCAGAAAGGTGGGCTACTGCAAAGATGAGTAGTGGGGGGGTTGAAGAGGGTTGGAATAGTTTTAAAAATACAGTATTAGAATGTGGGGCAGAAGCTTGTGGTTATAGGAGGGTGGGGGCAGGAGGAAAGAGGAGTGATTGGTGGAATGATGAAGTAAAGGGTGTGATAAAAGAGAAAAAGGTAGCTTACGAGAGGTTTTTACAAAGCAGAAGTGTTATAAGAAGAGCAGAGTATATGGAGAGTAAAAGAAAGGTGAAGAGAGTGCAAAAGGAGAGCAGATGAAAGAGTGGGAGAGGCACTGTCAAGAGATTTTAATGAAAATAAGAAAAAATTTTGGAGTGAGTTAAACAAGTTAAGAAAGCCTAGGGAAAGTATGGATTTGTCAGTTAAAAACAGAGGTAGGGGAGTTAGTAGATGGGAGAGGGAGGTATTAGGTAGATGGTGAGAATATTTTGAGGAACTTTTAAATGTTGAGGAAGAAAGGGAGGCGGTAATTTCATGCACTGACCAGGGAGGTATACCATCTTTTAGGAGTGAAGAAGAGCAGAATGTAAGTGTGGTGGAGGTACGTGAGGCATTACGTAGAATGAAAGGGGGTAAAGCAGCTGGAACTGATGGGATCATGACAGAAATGTTAAAAGCAGGGGGAGATATAGTGTTGGAGTGGTTGGTACTTTTGTTTAATAAATGTATGAAAGAGGGGAAGGTACCTAGGGATTGGCGGAGAGCATGTATAGTCCCTTTATATAAAGGGAAAGGGGACAAAAGAGATTGTAAAAATTATAGAGGAATAAGTTTACTGAGTATACCAGGAAAAGTATACGGTAGGGTTATAATTGAAAGAATTAGAGGTAAGACAGAATGTAGAATTGCGGATGAGCAAGGAGGCTTCAGAGTGGGTAGGGGATGTGTAGATCAAGTGTTTACATTGAAGCATATATGTGAACAGTATTTAGATAAAGGTAGGGAAGTTTTTATTGCATTTATGGATTTAGAAAAGGCATATGATAGAGTGGATAGAGGAGCAATGTGGCAGATGTTGCAAGTTTATGGAATAAGGTGGTAAGTATTAAATGCTGTAAAGAGCTTTTATGAGGATAGTGAGGCTCAGTTAGGGTGTGTAGAAGAGAGGGAGAATACTTTCCCGTAAAAGTAGGTCTTAGACAGGGATGTGTAATGTCACCATGGTTGTTTAATATATTTATAGATGGGTTGTAAAAGAAGTAAATGCTAGGTGTTTGGGAGAGGGGTGGGATTAAATTATGGGGAATCAAATTCAAAATGGGAATTGACACAGTTACTTTATTGCTGATGATACTGTGCTTATGGGAGATTCTAAAGAAAATTTGCAAAGGTTTAGTGGATGAGTTTGGAGTGTGTGTAAAGGTAGAAAGTTGAAAGTGAACATAGAAAAGAGTAAGGTTGATGAGGGTATCAAATGATTTAGATAAAGAAAAATTGGATATCAAATTGGGGAGGAGGCGTATGGAAGAAGTGAATGTTTTCAGATACTTGGGAGTTGACGTGTCGGCGGATGGATTTATGAAGGATGAGGTTAATCATAGAATTGATGAGGGAAAAAAGGTGTAGTGGTGCGTTGAGGTATATGTGGAGTCAAAAAAACGTTATCTATGGAGGCAAAGAAGGGAATGTATGAAAGTATAATAGTACCAACACTCTTATATGGATGTGAAGCTTGGGTGGTAAATGCAGCAACGAGGAGACGGTTGGAGGCAGTGGAGATGTCCTGTCTAAGGGCAATGTGTGGAAATTAGGAGAAGGTGTGGAGTTAATAAAAGCATTAGTCAGAGGGCAGAAGAGGGGTTGTTGAGGTGGTTTGGTCATTTAGAGAGAATGGATCAAAGTAGAATGACATGGAAAGCATATAAATCTATAGGGGAAGGAGAGAGGGGTAGGGGTCGTCCTCGAAAGGGTTGGAAAGAGGGGGTAAAGGAGGTTTTGTGGGCGAGGGGCTTGGACTTCCAGCAAGCGTGCATGAGCGTGTTAGATAGGAGTGAATGGAGACGAATGATACTTGGGACCTGACGATCTGTTGGAGTGTGAGCAGGGTAATATTTAGTGAAGGGATTCAGGGAA